TTTTTTTTTTTTTTTTTAAATTGATGGAACTACAGATTGAACTCAGGCCCTTGCGCTTGCCAGGGAAGTACTTATTCCACTGAGCCATCTCCCCGGCCCCTATCTCCTGGCTTTTAGTGTGGACTCTTTGGCCTCTGCCCTGGATCCTTCAGCCTTCTGGTGGAGACCCAGCGGCCTCCTGCTCAGTGAGCGCCACACCTTGGATGGAATCCTTCAGTCTCCAGGGTGCAGACACCCTCTGCACGCTTCCTTATCTGACCCTGGGGCTGATGGTTGTAAACCAATCTTGTAACTTCCTATACATTGGTACATCTGGTACATCTTGGTTTTTTTTTTTTTGGCCGAACCGGGGATTGAACTCAGACCCTTGTGCTTGCCAGGGAAGCGCCTATTCCACTAAGCCATCTCCCCGGCCCCATGTACATCTTGTTTTATATCCATTTCTCAACCCTTACTGATACATATGGCATCAATCTTGGGGGCCCATTAAAGGATTAGTGAGTAAAGAAACTATGGTACATATACATAATTGAACACTATTCAGTCGCGAAAAGGAGACTGCCATGCGGAAAGGAGACCACGAAACTGCACTCTCGTGAGAAATGGAGCCCCTTGCCTCAATTTCCCCGGCCTATCCTTCAACCCTATTCACAGAGCTGACTGTATTGAAACAGATGCTCCCTTAATTGGCTAGAACAACGTAACTGAGTCCAGCCAAGACACCAACTTATCTCATTGTAGCACATGGGCAAGAATTGCCCCCCACTACTTAGAGCTGGCATAGGAGCTTGAGCAGGCGTCTGAGATTCCAGGGCTAAGACATGAGATAACCGAGGCCATGCGACTCAGGAAAAATCCTACTTTCCTGGCAGTGAAAGTGCCAGTCTTGCATGGATCAAGCTATCGTTGAACGGCTAATTGAAAGCCTTTACTGTGACCATCACCCTTTTCCCTGATTGACAGCAATAAAAGCCATGGCTCTTGGCTGGTGAATGCCATCACCAGGGGCTCCCTATGGCCTTTTGATCCATAGGGAATAGGGGGTCATTCCAGACTTCTCCACTTTAGAATGTTCTTTCTTTTGTATCTGTGTGCCATGTCGTCAGGTGGGAGACCTGGACAATCTGAGGGCATTGTAATACTATCATGTGCAAGAACATGGATGGGAGGGCCAGCGAGATAGCTCAGACTAAGAGCCTGCTTTGGTAAGCACAGGGACCAGAGTTCGATCCCCATTCCCACGAGCTGCGCAGGTCCTGCCCCCGGGATATGCTGAGCCAGGGACTGAGTCAAGGCCTGGTGTCACACACCTGTAATCCCAGCACTGGGGAGGCTGAAAACAGGAGGATTACTCTGCATCCAAGCTGCGTAGTGAGACCCTGTACCAAATACATTAAAAAAGAACATGGATGGAATTGGAAAATATTACGTGAGTGTCTTAGTTACTCTTCTCTCGTTGCTGGGACAAATACGCGACACCCAAAATGAAGGAAGGAAAGGTTTATTTAGCTCACAGTTACTGGAGGTTTCAGTCCATACTCAGCGGGCACCAAGGCAGAGCGGCACAAGGCAGAGGACAACCTTTCATGGCTGGCGGTAAAGAGCAAGAGCGCAAGGGAGGGGTAGCAGCAGCTGGAGCAGCAGGCTTCTCCTCCCACCTTACACTGTAATGCAAATTACCTGCTCCAGGGCGAGGGCAGCATCCACACCCACCCTAATCACAGACCCGGAAGCCAGAAGCTGCCCCAAAACTGCATGAGGCTTTGGGGGGGACACCTAGATACAAATCATAACGGTGAGGTACGTCAAAGATAAATACTCCATGTTCTCACTTGTAAGTAGAAACTAAGTTCAAAGAAATAAGAGACTGTCTCATTTTTTTTTTTGTACTGGGAATTGAACTTAGGACCTTAGGCTTGCCAGGCAGCGGCTTGTGCCACTGAGCTATATCCCTAGCTTTTTAAAAATTTTTTATTTTTGAGACAGGGTCTCTATGTAGTTCAAACTGGTTTTGCTCTCACTATGTAGCCAGGGCTGGTCTCAAACTCACGGCGATCCTCCTGCCTCAGCCTCCTGAGTGCTGAGATTACAGGTGAATGCCATCACCAGGGGCTCAATATCTTGTATTTTTCCCCCTGAAGTTCTGTGGATCTAATCCTGGGCCTTGCTCATGGTAGGCAAGTGGTTTATCACTGAGCTAAAGACATAGCCCCAAAATAGAAAACAGAATAAACCAGATATAGTGGTTCCCCATGTAACTCCAGCACTCTGGAACTGAGACAGGAAGATGGCTTCGAGTTTGAAGCTGGCCATGGGCTGCATAGTGAGTTAAAGGCCAGCCTGAAGTATAAAGTGAGACTCTGTCTCAAAACAACAGGGCTGGGGAGATAGCCCAGGGGCCGAAGGGCCTGCCTGGCAAGCACAAAGACCCGAGAATGGCCCCACAACCCCAGGCATGGCCCTGAAACTGGGTGTGCAGTGAGACCTGGTGTTCAATAAATAAATAAATACTAAGAAAACAAAACAACAACAACAACAACAACAAAAAACCAACCCAAAATCTAAAACCCAAACAGCAAAATAATTGTTATCAGGGCCTTGGAAGGATGTGAGAAGGTAGAATTTGGGACAAGTGGGTCAAATGTACTGGGCTGCAGCTGGGTAAGAGAAATAACTTGTAACGTTCTGTAATTTTGGTTGATAGCAACTAACTGGATATTTCAAAATAGCTAGTGAGAGGATTCTGAATATTCCCAATGCACAGAAAAAAGTGCTCAAAGTGACAAAAGTGACACATACGTGGTGGAGCACACCTGTAAACCTGGTTCTCTAAGAGGCCGAGGCAGGAAGATTACAAACTTAAGGCCAGCCTAACCAATTTAATAATTTAGCAAGTCTCTGTCTCAAAAATTTAAAAAACGGGGGCTAGAGATATAACTCTACAGCATAGATGCCTACCTGCTAAGGTCGGAGTTCAATCCCCAGTATGAAAGGAAAAAAAAATTGCTTGAAGAGTGTAGCTCAATGCAAAGGCCCTGGGTTCCCTAACAGCCCCCCTCATTAAAAATAAAGTGAAATACATGTCAAATACCTGATCTGATCATCACACGTGGTACACCTGTGGCCCGTAATTTCTGTTTCTTGGGATTAATTCCAGGCTGAGGGTAGCCTCGGTGAGACCCTTAATCAAAATAAAATAGTTTGAGAATGTTCCCCTTCCCCTTCCCCAGTATACACGTGTTCAAATGTCCACTGTACACAAATATGACAATTACTATGTTAATTAAAAATACATGTATTAAAACAGAAGCAAAGTGATTAGCTAAATGTGTCCATTTTACATGTTTATACTGCCTATGTATGCACACATAATAATATATATGCATGTATACAAAACGCTAGGTTGGAAGATCCATAAATTATTCTCGCTATTCTTCTTTCTACCTCCATGCTTTCTCTTGGAGTTCACATACTTTAACCTTAACTGTTCCTGGTTTGGTTTCAGCACAGGGTGAGTGGGACGCGCAGGCAGGAGGGAAACAAGACTCACTCAAGCGTGCTTATTACCTAAGCAACGGAATCAAACAGCCCGGACAGAATGGCTTTACAAAAGGGCTGCTGAGAAGTTAATGTACATAGTCTGTTAGGCCAGTTTAATAACGATTCAAAAAAGAAGAGAAGTGAGAAATGGTAGACTACTTGTCTTGCAGCAGGAATGAATCGAGGGCAATTGGCCTAGGTGGTCGCAGTGCGCTGAGACCCGGAGTGCAGCTTCACGGCTCACGCTCCTCACCAGGGAATAACGTGGACTTGCCGAGAGGCTGCAAGCTACTCGTGGCTTCATATTCAGTAAAGTGCTTTGAGCGAGACTGGCAAGCAATGATTATGTGAACATTTTTTTTCTGGGATGCTTAGGAAACGAGGTTTTCAAAGTAAGAGAAACGCCACTAGGTAACTTCCTGGGTCGTAGTTACACACCGACAGGACTCTCAAAATAGCTTTGGGCCCCTCCCAGCCGGACTTTGAAAGCCGGTGTGAGACGCATGCGTGCCTCCCCTATGACCTCCTGGTGGCACAAAAGATAGCGGACCTTCTTCCCGACAGCTCGCGCGGGAGAAAGAGGGAGGGGGAAGTGTGAGTAATTCTCGCGAGGATTTAGCCAGCGCCGACGGAAACAGTAGACACGTGACTGTACTAGGCGGCCTTCGCCTTCCCCCTCCCCCTTCGCTGCAACCCGGCCCCCTCACCCCTCGCCCACCCCAGAGCCACGATAATGGACCGTATGGGTTTCGGAATTTCCTTGGATCCAGTCACTGGTATCAGGCCAGCAGGAGTCGGTGGAGTCCGTTTTTTGATGGCGAAGGCAGGGGGCGACCAAGGTGGGGGGAGGATCATCTTCCTTCTCCTAGGAAGGAGGCGGGGTGGAGAGGGGAGCAGAGGATCGAGGTGGGGGGGAGGGAGGAAGTCACGTGGGGGCGCGGCCCGCGCAGCCTTTGCGCGGCGCCTCGCCCGTCGCCCCGCCCCCTCCCCTGCCGGCGGGCGGGGGGGCTCGGAGGAGGGGCTTCAAGATGGCGGCGGGGAGGTAGGCAGAGCCGGACGCCGCTGCTGCCACCGCCGCCGCCGCCGCCGCCGCCTCCGCTCCAGTCGCCTTGGGCTCTTCAAGCTCTCAGCGCTTGGGAGAAGCTGTTCTGGCGTCAGGTCCCGCGAGGAAAGTAAGTCTTTCCTTTGGTCCTTTTCTCCTTCCACACTCGCCCTCCCGGACAGCCTCCCACTCCCACCTTTACGGAGGTCCGTGTGCTGCCGGGCTGGGGGGGCCGCCACCTCAGCCGGCTCGGGACCTCGCGTCCCGTTCGCCGTCTCCTCTGCTGCCAGGTCCCGGCCGCGGCGCCGCTGCCCTCTTCTCCCGCCCGTCAGCGCCGGCCCTGCGGGCGCTGCGCGTGAGACTCTCGGCTCCCGGAGCCCGCTGTCCCGAGCCTGAGGCGCTCCGGGGCCCGGGCGACGGAGTCTGCTGCGCACGCCGGCCGCTCCGGGGTCACCCCGTTAGCTTTCCCGCAACACCCGTTGCCGGCAGGCCCCGGACCCCGCGGGGAAAGTGAAGTCGGGATCCTTCCAAGTCCTGCTCTGCCGGAGCATTGCTCCCGCTTTGGGCCGACGGAGGGAAGGAAGCGGTGGGGTCGCCTGTCCTGGGTCTGCACCCCTCGCGGGCGGGGCGCGCGGACCTCGCGCCTGGCGCGGCGGGGACGGTGCGTGGGACACGTGGGGGCTACGTTCCTGCCTCACCCTGCGATGAGCTTAGTTTTGCCCGGAGCGAGCGTGCTGACCTCCCCGACCCTAAGGGTAGGTGTATGTGGGAGGGATGTCGGTGGCGCATTGGCTTCCTCGGACGGTAATCGCTGTACCAACCATCCGAAGTTCCCCAAAGCAGTGTCGGCCGGTGGTTCCCCCGAAGTGGTTTGGGATCGGTTTAACCGCTGAGGAGATTTGGATGTTCTAAAGCCTTGTTTTTTTCCTGACCCTGGCGTCCAGCTCCTCCCCTTTCCACCCGGCTTTGTGCTTATGTTTGGTTAATGTTTGCGGACCACTAACTTGATCCTTGTACAGAGAACCTCTTTTTCTGTGTATGCTCTGTTTACCGTGGGAGGGTTTTGTTTTTGGGAGTCGCTGGTTGAGAAACGTGGGAAAAGAACGGGCGAGAAAATGAGAGTCAATGCGACGTTTTTAATACATTTCGCAGCCAGTTGTAACTGTACCCGGAAGTTTGTGTGGAACACGTGTTGTGGGAAGGTTAGAAACAGGCTCCCCTTTGACCTTTAAAAGTTGATTGTTAGCAGTGGATGTTGAGTTAAATGAGAGCCCTCCAGAGACTCAGCGGGGCCGGCAAACTGTCAAACCTTAAGTGGCTCTGCACCAGTCAGCTTAGCACTTGCATACAGTTCTACCAGGTGACTGTGGAGGGATCTTAATCTAACTGTTCCATACGACTCTTCAGAATTTTAAACAAAACATCACTGTGGTTATTAGACAAATGTTAAAAAGAAGAGTCCTACTATTGATTTATTCATCGGTGTCAATGTGTCGGGCAGTTTTGTTTTATGGGCTTTGTTGAACTTACTTTCAAAGTAGGCTTTATGAAAATTCTTTTCATGCTTTTAAAAGTGATTTGCCTTGAAGTCTTTATTTTTATTTTTTTGAGACATGGTCTATGTAGACCAGGCTGGCATCAAAGTCTGAGCCATCTTCCTTTCTCAGCCTCTAGAATGTTGAGTTTACAAGCTTGCATCACCAGGCCCAGCATGGCCCAAACCCTTTAGCTACTGATATACTACGTATTTTGTTGTTACCTTTGGGTTGAACTTTGAGTTGAGACTTGTCACCTGTGAAGGACAAGAACACTCAGTTCTGGTTACAAGTGTCATAACTGGAACGTTAGCCTATTTGGGTTCCCACGCTTTGCTTGACTAAAGTTGGTGTAGAATTGGTTTCACATTAAGTAGCCAGTTAGAAATAAAGCCATGTAATACGGTTGGCTTTTTTTTTTTTTTTTCAAATCGTAAGTTTTTTTATGCTGATTGACAGATCCACTTTTTTTTTTGGAGGGGGAGTACCAGGGATCAAACTCAGGAACTTGTACTTGTCTGGCAGGCACTTATGCTGTTGAGCTATCACCCCTGGCCCAACAGATCCACTTTTATATGATTTGAACTCATTAAGTATTGAACACAGCCTTAGGATACCACTAAACTTTTGTGTAGGTGGAAAGGCTCTTGAAGACCACAAACTATTTACTAAGTTTGCTAAGGTATAAAACTCATCAGGTTACCTATTTTATATATTTCTTGGGAAGCAGTAAATAAATTTTAGCATTGATTTGCAAATGTTTTTATTATCTTACAGTAAATACATTTCACATAGTGATCTAGTACACACACACATAGATATATATAT